TCCACACACACACACACCCCTCCCCAACACTCTCTCATTGATGCTAGCGCCATCGCCGCACAAGGTCAGCTCAGAAATCTCGCTGCCGGGAAGCAGGAATAGCCGTGGAATGCCGGATTCGGAGGCCGGCCGGGAGAGCGGCTGCGCGCTGAGCGTCTCGCCCGGCGTGTAGAGCTCGATCCACGGAAGCGTGTTTTTAAAAAAGGATGCCGCTGCACTGTCCTGGAAGAACGAGACACGAGCTTCTCTGGCTTCTGGAAAAGCTGCTTAAACTGCATTGGGAGGGGGGCTCCTGCTCCAGAGGTGGCCTCTGACGGCAGCCGGCTCAGCCTGGGTCACCTCCATTGTGGTCCCGCCGGCAGGGATGTAAGGAGAGGGCAGCATTCACCTTGGAATTGGGGTATGGCTTGCTGCTGGATTAAGATGCTCTGAGGAGTCTTCTTTGTGCCTTTTTTTTTCCGACCCCCCCCCCCTCCCCACCCGACACTCTCTTCTGCACCGTTCCTCACTGCCTGATCTCCACAGAGTCCGAGTTCCGCCATGTCCTTCGCATTCTGTGGCAATGACAACGGCTCGAGCGCCTACAACGTGGACCGGGGCGTGCTCAACAACGGCTGCTTCCTGGACGCGCTCACCGTGGTGCCCCACGTCTTCCTGCTCTTCATCACCTTCCCCATCCTCTTTATCGGTGAGTCCCGCGGCAAGGTGAGTGACGTGACAGAAAGGGCAACTGTGGCCCCGGCCTGCATTACAGCTCGGCCTGAAGACAAGGCTGCACCTTTAACATGTTTAATGTGTTTCTGGGTGTATAAATCATAAATCTGGTGTTTGGCTTCTTCTGGGCTTATAACCACTCTAGATGCTGATTTCTATGTTATGTTCCTGTGTGAGGTATTAATGTGTGACAGATTTAAATCAAAGCACATGATAAAATTAGCTTTCAGCTCTCCATTGGTAAATCTATCTGTTCTAAATTACCTAAGAGTGTTTCATCTCAGCAAACCTCTTCAAGGCCCAGTGTAGGGGAAACATTTCTATTTTAGACATACCTTTATGATGGAATTTACTTGCTGTGTGTGGAACCTTTTCCATCTCGTAGGGTATGGTTACTATCTCTTGGTCAATACCATAAACATTATTTCAGTGGTTGCATGAACATCTCAGAATGTCATGGAAAGCCCTCTGAGATGTTGGGGTCCTTGAGTTCCCCAGAAGGTATGGGTTCCTGCACACTGTCTGCTAGAATATTAACCTGTTTAGATGTGTTCATTTGTTGTGGGAAACATCTTAAGGGACAGGGACAGGCATTAGTATTAATATCTCCCCAGGGTTTTGATACCGGCTTAGGTTGGTAATGGATTTAAATGTGTGAGTTATGTTACAAGGGTGTGTTTCCTGGAACTTCATGGCATTAAAGTACCTTTGGGAAACATGGAGACAGGCTTATAGTGATGTCACATTTAACTAAAGAGAAGTGGGTGATTTTAAACGCAAAGAAGTTTCACCTGCCAAGGATTCAGAAGCTTTAATCCATGCAAATGACTGGCTGTTCCCTTGGCTTCACCACCACAAACCAATTTGCGGACCGATCAATTTAATTGCCAGGGAAGTCCATAACGAGTAAGCTGCCTAAATACTCATTAACAATCATTGCCAACACCACCTTCCATAAGCACAGGATCCTTAAGCAAACACTGCAGCTTGGTCCTCTTTCGCCCCCTGCAGGCTGGGGCAGCCAGAGCTCCAAAGTACACATTCACCACAGCACGTGGCTCCACTTCCCGGGCCACAACCTGCGCTGGATCCTGACCTTCATCCTCCTCTTCGTCCTTGTCTGCGAGATCGCGGAGGGAGCCGTGTCGGACGGGTACGTCTCAGTGGGTGATGTGGGGTTGCAGCGCGGCGATGGGGCCAGAGGAACGGGACACTTGGCCCCCAGGTGTAGCTTTCAGAGCGGTCTTCCGAATGCTTTCTCATTAATTTATTAACGAGACACACAGCCCTGAGACCCAGGCTCATAGCACACAAGCTTAGAGACTTCAGCAGCTGAACATGCAGGTTGAATTTAAGCGCACACTGTCATTCCTATGCTTTTCTCATATTTGATGGAAAGTGTTCATGTCTGAGTTAGTCTTTGCGCACGGGTGAGAGTGGGTGGGCACCTACTAACCTTCTTGGAGATCTCTGTTGACAGGTTCAACCAATCGCTTCACCTGCACCTCTACATGCCCGCTTGCTTGGCCTTCCTGGCAGGCATCACCTCGATCATCTACTACCACAACATCGAGACCTCGAACTTCCCGAAGCTTCTACTTGGTAGGTGCTTCCTGCAGAACAGAAGGACTGTCTAGGGTTTCCCACTGAGGGGTCTCCCAGGGCACAGGCCAGGCTGAGGGGTAGGCCGAGTAGAGCTGAAGTACCCTGTCGATTATGACGAAGACTCAGTGGGTATTGATTCACTGCATGGGGACCAGTACCTCAGCTGGCAGATTAGCATGTCCTACAGCACCACCCAGCCAAAGAGCACTGATTGGTCCTGCAATGTGTCATATGACCGATGACATGGCAAAGAGGGCGTCATGCTCTGATGCTGTAGGACAGGTATGGATGAGTGTGGGAAATGGTCAGTATGTGAAAAGTGATACAGAAAGTGAGGGGGGGGGGGTTTCTCGGAAGGTTTCCCTGTGTCCGTTTGCTTGCACTTTGAAACATTATGTATTGCGTGTTTGCATGGTGACCCTACATCTGATTTTCTGGAGACTGATATCGGTATGATGACTGCTACTCTGGCACCGGGTAGTCGCAGGGAAGAGATCGATACCGCAGGTCTAATAAAATGCGAGGTGCCCTTTCATTCTGCCGCTGCTGGTTTTTCATTACTCTTCGAAATACAGGGGCGCCATAATGCTGAGCATGAGGCATTTGGTAGAACATCCGTGAGGTTCCACTGGTCCCACAGCCGGCCTATTTCCCCTCTCCCCTGGGTCACTCTGCGTGTGTGTGTTCCTCTTCTCCGACCTCACGGCTTCCCTTTCTTTGCTTGTATGGAGGAGTCATCCACTCCCAACTCGATTCCTCTGCGTGACACCCACTCTGTATAGCTGTCAGCCCACGGATGACTCAAACGACGTTAACCAGTTAATCTCGAATGAATTGCCTGCCAAAAGCAGCTCAGGCCACAGCGGACTCAGTTTGCCATGAATTTTTAATACCACTGCAGGGACATGCAATAGATGCGACCCTAACTATATCATCCTGCGGACCAATCCCAGAATCCTTTGCACCTGAATATGAATGTATCATTAGTTGCAAACAAAGAAAATTACATGGATTCATCCATATCTTTCAGTTTTTTGTTTATTAATTGTGCTGGTTCTTCTCTGTTGATGGAATTGATTTGGTTGACGTACTTAAGGGAATCTTAATCATTGGTCTTATTTGTCATTTGTCTTTGTTATAATCTGTGGTTATCCAATGGGAATAGCTAAAATAAGTGGCTGCATTTTAAGGAACCTATCAGTGACCATGGTTTATGCTTCCTTTGTTCCTCTCAGCTCTTTTGATCTACTGGGTCTTGGCTTTCGTCACCAAGACCATGAAGTTTGCCAAGTACAATGAGCACAACGTGGGCCTGGGACAGCTTCGCTTCTGCATCACAGGGCTTCTGGTCCTGCTCTATGGCCTGCTGCTGGCCGTGGAGATCAATGTCATCCTGGGCAGGGTGAGCACTGGGTGAAGGGGATCACTGTGTGCGTGTTTGTGTGCGTGTGCTAGAGTATGTACTACGGCAATCTGTCCATAGTGCTAAACACCAGCCATTTGCTAATGTCTGTTAGCATACTTTTAAGTAGATTTTATTCTCATATGGGACACAGGCTTATATATAGGTGAATGTGGCTGTGCTTAGCCTATGTGGTAAGTGTGTCTGTGTTTATATGCACATATATCCAGGCTTTGCAGCTCCCAGGAGATTCAGAGCCAATACTGAATCTTCTTACCATGATTATGTGACCTTTTCCTGTAATGCTAGGCTGTCAGTCACCATTACATTCACTATTTTTTGGATTCCATCCACACATGAGCTTTCCTATTTATACAAATACATTGTGGTCACATGATGCCAGTATTCAACTGTTCCAGAACTTGTGTTTATTTAAATGTCATTTATCTCAAAGATCATTTGTATTGGTGAAGGACTGGGTCTGGTATTACAGTGTGGAAGCTGCACTGGTCCCCACAGCATGTTGGCCGGGACCTCATGGTGTGTAACCCTCCATGTGTGAAGGCCCTGTTGCGCACTGGCACGCTGGCTGTGATGTTCTCCACACACCAGGCTTCCAGATTACTGAAAAAACGAAACATGCGATGCAGAATCTAAAAGGAAGGAGATTGTACTCTTTACCCACTGAATTGTACTACATAGAAATGCGACCTTTACTGGGATAAGTGGTTAGATGATGATTGGATAGGTAGATGGATAGAGGGATGGATGGATGGATGGATGGTTGGACAGATGGACGGAGAGATGGACAGAAGGATAGATGAAAATCTGATGCACTAAAGAACACATAGTCACTGTGTTAAGGATCCACTGAGCTGACATGAATCCTGTGCAAACCTGTGATCTCCTAACGGTCGCCAGGTGCACTTCCAGCAGCACGTTCCCCGCGTGGCGTCCAGCTTGTCCTTGCTCTGTCCAAGGCCGATGTTGAAATATTATACTGCATGGGCTGCGTGGGCCGAGAAGGGCCTGCATGATGCACTGCGGTGACTTAGGAGGCGAGACACAATAACGCAGCAATGTTGCGACTCTAATGGTGCAATGTGGCTGCCGGCTGCAACTCTGCTATGTGTTTATGTCTTAGGCTCCCTGCCTCGGAGCTTCTGTGTTATTAAGTCATTCAGCGCTTGCCTTTGCTAGATGCTCTATATAGGCCCAGCAGGATGGATGTTGAGACCGAACAGAGATGTCTGTAAAAGAGTCGGCATTGCCACAGCGGTCAGAAAGTCTTGCACATTCATCCATTTAGGAACAGTTACGCGTGTATTGATGACATGGGATATACTGTGAAACGTTTAGTGGCAGGGAGCTGTGAATCAAAGTCTACGTGAACTGAGTTATTGCGCAGTTAAAGTGACAAGCAACACGTCGTGTTTTTTAAAGGCAAAGACGTTTATTAGATTCAAAGCCTCAAATTCAGCACTGGCTGGAAAGGCTGGCATACTTGTGGGTCTGTAACTGAGGGATTAGCTTGAAATGAGGTTGTAGAGAGTTGATGTTTTCAACGCGCGTTCAAAATGTAGGGCAGCATATGGCACAAAGGCTAAGATCGTGGCTGAGTGCACGGTGCCAGTGTTGGCTGGATTGGAGAGGAGCATCAGCTAACATGTGACCATGTGACTTTGTTGCTGAAAGCTGTATAACTATTCAGCCAATGGGAGTGACTCAGACAGCAAGGTTACTGTCAGTAGCATAGGTTTAAAAATAGCTCTCCTAGGTTTTGAGGTGAGCTGCACTTGCTGAAGTCCCACACAATCACACACCAGGCAGTAGCCTAATTTACACACACACTCCTGCTCACATGTTCACACAGATGCATTGTTTACAATCTTATTTGTCTACTGCACTACCTGATCTGCTTTTTTAAAAGGCTTTTTTTTATTTGCTCTTGAAAAATCTCGTTAGACTTAGAAAAAATAAACAAACTGGACTGAGGTCATCTTCCATAATTCTCCTCACCCGCACCCCAAGGAGAGATTTCACTCGGTGGAGCGAGGCCGTAAGAATGTTGAAGGTTAAAGGAGATATTGCTTATTCAGCAGTCACGGTTTTAACGACGTCAGCCTGAAATACTGAGGGTTCACCACAGGCATATGCATCCATCTTCCAACGGCTCATCCTGGTCGGGGTCGCAGGGAGCCCGGTGTCCTACCCCAGGCAGCATAAGGCGCTCTGTGAGCGATTTGTTTAACTGCCTGTCCTTGGGCTGCTGGAGAAATGCCAGCCAACACGGGGGGGAACATACAACCTCCACAGCCACTGAGCGGAGGCAGGATCTCGACCCTTTAACCATGCCACCCACTGAACCACCGTACCACACATACGCAGGTGACACAAAACAGAAAGCGGGTGTTTGTTAGTCACAACCAAGCAGGACACTACGCTGTATCCTTAGCAGAACCGTCAATAGCCGGTCGCCTTGAAGAACAAAAGATCTCCTTCTCTCGCCTTAAAATAATATAGCTGTGCCAGTAGGAAACCAACTTCATGTGGCTTGTTATCTGTCTAACAAGTGCAGTATGAGCAGGCTGAATGATTCCAAAAAATCAGGCTGCCAAGAAGTGTCATATTCCGATGGCCCGAAACCTTCGGCTGCCAGGGAGGTGTTGGTAGGCCGCATAATTGTGGGCATTTATACCCTCATTGCTGGCACTAAACTGACATTCTGCATGCCAAAGCAAGCGAGCAACATCACTGTCTGAACATCATTAATGTCTAATGGGATTGAAGGCGGGGACTTACAGTAGTACTCGAAAACAGCAGATTTCCATTTTTGGTTTGGCTAAGAAACAATGACATTGAATAACGGCACATTTACAGTCTCAGGGCTTTTTATTCAAGGATTTGTCACTGGTCAAGGGTTGCAAGATGCTGTATATAACATACACTGTGTTTAGCATTTTATATATTTCTAAAGAATGCAGGATCACACAGGCACAGTTTCTGATATACACTCACCTAAAGGATTATTAGGAACACCATACTAATACGGTGTTTGACCCCCTTTCGCCTTCAGAACTGCCTTAATTCTACGTGGCATTGATTCAACAAGGTGCTGAAAGCATTCTTTAGAAATGTTGGCCCATATTGATAGGATAGCATCTTGCAGTTGATGGAGGTTTGTGGGATGCACATCCAGGGCACGAAGCTCCCGTTCCACCACATCCCAAAGATGCTCTATTGGGATGAGATCTGGTGACTGTGGGGGCCATTTGAGTACAGTGAACTCATTGTCATGTTCAAGAAATCAATTTGAAATGATTCGAGCTTTGTGACATGGTGCATACTCAGACCGGCCCGTCTGGCACCATCAACCATGCCACGTTCAAAATTGCTTAAATCACCTTTCTTTCCCATTCTGACATTCGGTTTGGAGTTCAGGAGATTGTCTTGACCAGGACCACACCCCTAAATGTATTGAAGCAACTGCCATGTGATTGGTTGATTAGATAATTGCATTAATGAGAAATTGAAGAGGTGTTCCTAATAATCCTTTAGGTGAGTGTAGAGGGAGCTGCATTGTATCGTGTTGATGTGTGTGCTCTGTATGAGACGATTTCTGTATGTGAAATGTGTGTGTGTGTGTGTGTTATGTATATATTATGTTGTGGGGACCAAATATTCCCACAATGTGATAGAAACCTACTATTTTTACATTGTGGGGACTATTTTTTTTAGTCCCCACAAGGGAAAACTCAATTTTATAGGTTTTTATTATAAATATTAATGGATGGTCTCCAAAAAGATATGAATACAAAAATCATGGGGGTATTTTACGAACCAGGATGTCTTGCTTAGCCGGATAAATTTAAGGTAGTCTGGGCTAAATGGACTATATCTTCATCCACTTAAATGTAGCTCAGACTACCTTACATGTTTGTGTGTATTTGTGTGCATTCTGTGTATCAATATTTATGAATAGACGTGTGTCTGTGATTGTATTTGTTTGCTTGTATGCATACGTTTGCAGGTGTTTGTTTGTACATCTGTGAATTTGTGATTTTGACATAGTGTGTAAACATATCGACACACTGTGTGCATGTTGATATTTGCATTGTGATGGTGAGTGCGAGACTTTGCGAGTGTCCGTCTGTCACCGTGTACGTCTGTGCCTGCGCCCTGTGTCAGTTCCTGCCGTGTGATTGGTGGCCTTTTTTTGCAGCGCTATATGTGTTTCAAACACCCCACAGAGGTGAAGCCTCCTGAAGATCTGCAGGACCTGGGCGTACGCTTCCTGCAGCCCTTCGTCAACCTTCTGTCCAAGGCCACCTACTGGTGGATGAACACCTTCATCACCTCTGCCCACAGGCGCCCCATCGACCTCAAGGTCATCGGCAGGCTGCCTATTGCAATGCGCGCCCTCACCAACTACCTGCGGCTGCGCGTAGCCTTTGAGGCCCAGAAGGTACGACATATGTGGGGAAGGGGATGGTGGTGAGCATCTCAGGGAGGGTGCTGACCCCAACATTTGGTCGGCTTTCCATTAAGGAGCGCTGCATAACTTACTACTAGATGACGATACTAATGATGATGATGATGACGACTTTATTTTCCATTTGGACAAACACAGGTATAAGTATATTCATAACTCTTCCTATGAATGCAATGTCTATAAGGATCTATGAACACATTCATACCACATTATAATGCATTCATAAAGCATTATAAACATGGGTATAAAAAATGATAAAAAGACATAACGCATTATAGCCATGTTTATTATGCATTATGAATACTCCATGAAGCCCTCATCTATAATGCACTGTAGATGTCTTTATAATGCAGTACAAAGCATTCTTAATGCTTATACTGACCATTATATTGCATTGTGAAGGTATCTGTAGTGTATTATAGATGTGAGCTTATGAAGTATTATAATTCCTTATGACTGTCAATATCAGATGCTGTACTGCTTTAACAAATTGTATACCAGCCATTATAATGTATTATGAAGGTTTCTATAGTTCCTGGTACATTATTATTTGGGTTTCTCATATCCCATCTTCCTTTCCTGTGAGAGTGAAGCTTGGGGTCAGAGCGCAGGGTCGGCCATTTATACAGCTCCCCTAGAGCAGATTTTGGGGTCAAGGGTCTTGTTTGAGGATGCAACAGTGATATGATTGCTGTGTCAGCCACGGGATTTGAACCGCTGACCTTCCAGACACAGACTCTAACTCAAAGAACCGTACACCAGCTGGGGTAGGAACACAGCTCCTAATGTCCTTTCTATGGATGCAGCAGTTAGTGGCTTCAAATGACCAAATACCTAAAATAGGATTTACTTGTGATTTTCCAGACTGAAAGCCTTTCCAACAAACCCAGAGGTGACTATCCCATTTCCAGGACCAGTGAGCCTGCTGGGTATCATTCTGCTTATGCCTCACTTGCAGATTCGTGCCGATGATAATTGGAGGGTACTGCTTCCTTTGGATGACATGGGATGCCCGTCCCTATGGAAACTAATGCTCTAATTACAAACAGCAGGCAGCCAAGGACGAGGCACGTTTATTACACAATGAAAGATGAAATAGCAAAAGGAGAAAGAAGGAGAGAGAAGTGATTGTCAGGAGGAGAGATTATTTATTTAACCTAGGCTAGTCAGGCTAGGCTAGTCAGGCTAGGCTAGTCAGGCTAGGCTAGTCAGGTCCTGTGAGGGATCTGTTTTCATAGATGGCATTAAAATAAACATATGCTGAGGATCAACTTCAATACGGCACTGCACTTGTGTAATGGAGATCTGAGTGAACCTAACACTACAACAATCGGATAGGTAGCATGTGAGAAAACCCAACTGGAGAGTCACACAGGGCAATTCCGTAGTCACAGCTGATAAGGTGGAATATCCCAGCTTTGCGACATGGTGTACAGTGGCTCTTTGATGGGGGACAAAAAAAAAATCACTTGATTGCCATTTGGATGTCAGCTGTGGAGGGGGGTTGGAGAGTGGGGGGTTTTCCATTACGCAGTGAGGTCAGACTGCTCGCTTAGCTTGGCCACAAAGCATCTCCATGCATCACTGTGAACGAACAGGGTGACATTTTGACCCCCTCACGTCCGGCTGAGTGAAAAAAACACTCTTCCTCCATGGGAATGGGGTTGTGACTGTGTTGTGTGGGACGGAGCCCCAGCTCTGGTCCCCAGATCGGCCCTGAACCTCAGGCTGACCTCGCGCTTTCTTCAAAGCCATCGTTAACGCTTGCTGGGGCAACCTCGCAATTTCACTGAGAGGCCGCACGGCATCAGAACAGCGAGTGCCAGATGTGGCCTCAGATTATGAGTGCGCTCAATCAACAGCGCGGTTTAGTCAAGCGAAGAAGTGAGCTGACGAGCGAAAAGCAAAGAATATGATGCCTTTTTACTAAAAAATGGAGAGGCAAGAACTGCCACGCTTCCACTTCCTCTGAACATTCGATTTTTGGCACTTTAACTTTTAAATGTTTGTTAAATTATGCACCTTTCTGGAGTCAGCAGGAACCTACATGAGCATTTTATGTAGCAAAAAAAACAAAAAAGCCAAAAAAGAACCAAAAAAGGGTTTAAAGCAGATAAGGGTTTTGATTAAGGATTTCTGGCTTAATGAGACCCCAGATAATCAGGCAGCGTAGCTTCATTATTCCTGATGCAGATCACTCAGGGAGCCGCCCATCTCGTTGCTGTCGGAGCAGGAGCCATGCAAGTCGCTGATTGCTCTTGTTCCTCATCTTCAGAAACTGCATGGGAGTCAGCCGCAGGGGCCCAGGTGGATCTGGAGGGCCCTCCGGCAAGCTTTCGGGAGACCCATCATTCTCAGCATCACCTTCCGCTTCCTGGCCGACTTGTTGGGCTTCGCCGGGCCTCTCTGTATCTCCGGGATTGTCCACCACATCAGCAAGGAGAACAGGGCGCCCCAACCCCCGGTAGGACCTGCCCGTCAAGTACAGCCATCACACTGAGCCGACACCAACAGCCCGACAAACCTACCTGAGCTTCATGATGAGGCCCTCACCCTCTGAAAGGATGGGTGGATGAATTCAGTAACCTCTTACACAGGTGGAAATTTAAGGTCCACCAAGTAAAAATCCAGACCAAGATTTTGTTTCAACCAACCAGCTGAGTACTCTGTGACTCTTTATACTCAACTGGTTGGTTGAAACAAAATCTTGGTCTGGATTTTTACTCTCTGGACCCAACATTTCTACCTCTGACCGCTTAAATATTGGCCTAAACACTAAATAAAGAAAGCAGTGTTTCCTCAGAAATGTATTACCAATGTGTTACCATGCTGATGTTGGATGAATAATATTGAGTGTGAAACCAGTTGATCATGATGGACTGAGGGTGAAACAGGACTGGGAGGTACGTGAGTGCATGACTCTCAGAATTACACAGAAATACAGGCAACAGTTTTCCCTGCTTTCCCTGCCTACTGTTGTTGTTTTTTTTTTGTTATTCCTATTCTTGTTTTCATTCTGCCAGTTTTTTAGCTGAGCTCCTTTAATTAAATGTAATTTTTTTGTTAATATCACATTTATGTTGGAAAACGGTTTTGCCGGGAAAATAAACAAATGACTCATCGATCACCGATATGATCATTTAAACCATATAAGGTTAACAAATAGTGATTATTGGGAAGCCCTGTCACATTATACACGGCAGACAAAGTACTCCTTCTTTACTTAACATAATTATTTTAGGTATCTTTCTGAGCTGTGAGCTAGTCTCGGAGTCATAGTGCATGGTCTCTAAGGGCCATTTCACCCTCATAAGCCCATCGTCATCCAATAGTTTCAGGCCAGCGCTCGACGCCACGTTGACGAATCTATGGACCTGGTTTGCTCTGCTGCAGGTGAAGCTGCTGGGGATCTATTTCATCTCCTCGCAGGAGTTCCTGGCAAATGCCTATGTGCTGGCTGTCCTGCTCTTCTTCGCGCTGCTCCTCCAGAGGACGTTTCTCCAAGCCTCGTACTACGTGGCTATCGAGACGGGCATCAACCTGAGGGGGGCCTTGGAGGTACGCATGACTCACGTTCATACAGTGTGGCTGCTCCGCAACGCCAGATGCTCTACAAACGGTTACCTGTGGTGTTTCCATATTTACAGTTGAAGATCTACAACAAGATCATGCGCCTGTGCACCTCTAACATGTCCATGGGGGAGATGACTGTGGGCCAGATTTGCAACCTGGTGGCCATAGATACCAACCAGCTGATGTGGTTCTTCTTCCTTTGTCCGAACCTATGGGCCATGCCGGTTCAAGTATGTCACAGCTGCAGATATCATCACTGTTTCCATCCATCCATACATCCATCCCTCCATCTCCACTGTTTTATTAGTCATTTACTACTCATCTATAAAACCGTGTACTTAGTGCCATAAATTGTTAAACTGCTGAACTACAGCAAAGTTTGCTGCTGGAAAACATCATTTCACATTTTAAGATGTAATTAAGAAAAATGTAATTCCTTCCCTAAATTGAATTAGCCAATATACTTAATTTTGTATTCCGCTGTAATTTAATTCGCACAGATTTTCTGTTATGCTGTTTTAACTTTCAATGCGATTTAGAACTGAAATTACATTTGCTGTACATTCTCTCCAGCCTTCACAAGTCATGTTTTGCTGAATACTGACAGATTCCAGATGTAACTACTGGGTCTTTTGTACTCTAGTGAATAAATATGGATCTCTACCTTCAGAAATTTCTTTATTTAGTGCTTAGATCAATGACCAAGAAGGACAGGGGGTGGCTTTAATATAATATATTTATCAAATATATTGTCATAGCAGATATTACTTCAGTGAGGTAAAATAAAACATGCATGAATATGAACTTATTTAGCATTAATATAAATTTTACCATGCGACAGACTCATGCAGCAGAGGGAACCCAACATGAACTGTAATCTAGCAGGCAGTGGAAGTAAGCAGTGAATTCAGTAACATGCCACATGCACTTGCTAATGTTAGAGTTTATGGTGGGTGCAGTTTAATCCAACTGCATTTCCTGGTCTCAGTTTCAACCATGTCAGAATTGGATAGTTCAGGTCCAGAAAGTAAAAATCCAGACCAAGATTTTGTTTCAACCAACCAGCTGAGTACTCTGTGACTGTGACTCTTTATGCTCAACCGGTTGGATTAAAGAAAATATTGGTCTGGATTTTGACTTTCTGGACCTGAACTATCCACCCAGATCTGGACCATGCCAAGTTTGGGAACTCCTCACATGAACTGAATCCTTCCACTGGAAGTACAGTTAATAAAGGCTGGAGAGCATACAGAAGATGTAATTCTATCTATGTCCTCGAATAACCCAGAGCCTACCTGTGATAGCCAAATATCATCTGATTCCAAACCACGAGGTATTTTCCAGTATAGTACTCATCTCTTATTTATACCTTACTATTACACCTTACATCAGGGGTCTCCAACTCCGGTCCTGGAGGGCTACTGTCTAGTAGGTTGTCTATTCTATCTGGCTTCTGATGAGCCACACTTGTTCCTGGTATTTACCCGCTCATCAGAACACAGGTAGAATACAGAACCTACTGGACAGTAGCTCTCCAGGACCGGAGTTGGAGACCCCTGCCTTTCATCCATCCATCCATCCTCCCTAACTGCTTATGCAGTACTTAGTCATGCTGAACCTACAATAAGGTAGGGGGGATAACCTAAATGGGCTGCCAGTCCATTGTAGGGCACACTGATGTCATACATGATACATATAATACTGCCTGAATATAGCCAATTTTGCAATTTTACATCATCATTTTCAGCTTAAATGTGTACCAGATGGTAACAAAAGGCTGAGGATCACTAGATGTTGCCATTTAGATGTTATAATTCAAGGCATATCTACTTTTTCTATTATATATCATAAAATGTAATTATATATTTTTTATATACAAGCCAATGCCATAGTACAGCTGTGTGACATTTGAACATTCAACAGCTGTGTACATTGTGTTTCGAGTCACCAAAGGGCGAGTTTTACTTTATTCTCAATGAGACCCTGAAGGTCAGAGGAAACCCAAGGCTGCAGCTGTGAATGAAGCTGGTGGAGGGAGACTGCTGGTGGCCTCATGTCCTTGTGCGCGCTGTTCCAGATCATCGTCGGAGTCATCCTCCTCTATTACCTCCTGGGAGTAAGTGCCTTGATCGGGGCCACGGTCATCGCCGTCCTGGCCCCAGTGCAGTACTTCGTGGCCACCAAGCTGTCCCAAGCGCAGAAGAGCACACTGGTGAGTACGTCCACTCATCATCCCCCCCCCCCGGCTTTCCAACACAAACAGATCCATGAGGTCTGCTGGCTGCTTGCCATGCCAAGGAAACCACACATTCAAGACCCATTCCGGCGGGCAAATATTGACTCGTCCTTTATGCTCATCTGAATGATTATCCTGTATAGCAGGGGTGGGCAATCTTATCCGCAAAGGGCCGGTGTGTAAGCAGGTTTTCGGGATAACCTGTAGGTCAGCTGTTCAAACCCAGGTGTGAGGACTCTTCAGCCAATCAATCCCCTATTTAGTAATCTAATTGGGGAGTTGCAGCGAAAACCCGCATACACACCGGCCCTTTGCGGATAAGATTGCCCACTCCTGCTCTATAGCATCACTAACAGAAAGGAAAGAGAGGATCACCAAAAAATAGATCAAGTAGATTGAATTTTTCACCAGTGACACCACATTCTAGTGTGTTTGTGAGTGTACATGTGCGTTTCCAGCATGTTTGAGGTCCTGCGTTCCCCCCCCCCCACTCCCCCCACAGGAATACTCCAGCGAGCGGCTGAAGAAGACCAACGAGCTACTGCGCGGCATTAAGCTGCTGAAGCTCTATGCCTGGGAGCACATCTTCCGTGACAGCGTGGACGAGACGCGGCAGAAAGAGCTGACCAGCCTGAAGACCTTCGCCCTCTACACGTCTGTCTCCAGTGAGCCTTCTGGACCGTTTCCTGACAAAAACATTAACGAGAAGGATTTCAGAGGTTCAATCCGAGGCCGGAAGCTAAAGATAGAAACCTTCAATGGACATTAATATTCAGGCAAACCTTCAGCATTATTGTCATCTCCTGTCTGTCTGTGCTGGACCTGACTTTGATTTTGCAATACAAACGTTTTGTTTGTTTGTTTGTTTTTTCAGTCTTCATGAATGCAGCAATCCCAATAGCGGCGGTTCTTACTGTGAGTATGAGGTCAAATGTGTGTCTGGCGGCCCCTAGCGCCCTTGCCTTGGGTTGAGTTTGTAAGGTTAGCTAAGCTGGTGCTTCTTCTGAAAATCCCCTTTAGTTTCTTCAGTGCCGGATGTCCGTTTGCTGCCATTTCCCGTTAAGATCCGCTGAGTTGCTGGCAGACTGCCATACCTGTTTAAATAATTTCCAAAGACATTTTAAGGACGCTGTTTAATTGTCGTCACAAACAAGCATATATCCTGTCCTATTTATAGAAGTTTGTGGTCATGGTAGAAACTTAGCCTACATACTCTGGGAAGAGTGTGGGGTTAGAGTCACACAGCATTTTGAATCTTGTGTTTTCTTTCGTCTGCTGTGCTTCCTGCAGACGTTTGTGGTCCATGTGCACCTGTCGGAGGATTCGGACCTCTCCCCTGCTGTTGCCTTTGCCTCCCTGTCCCTCTTCCATATCCTGGTCTCGCCCCTCTTCATGCTCTCCAGCGTTGTGCGCTCCACCGTCAAAGCCCTGGTCAGGTAAGTCAGCATTCGCTGCCTTTTTTGTACGACGGAGATATAGTGTGTTTTTGAAGCTGGACAAGGTCTTGGAACCATCTGCTTCAGGTCTGTGTTGTAAATTTTGCAAAACACCAAATCTTTCCAAGCATATAATCAAAATAGTTGCCTAGATAATATTTGGTATGTGTCCATCCAGTGTTGTCCATCTCATGCCTCTCGCTCCATAATAAAAGCAGGTAATTGCACATCATTACCATCATCATTATCATTAAGTGTTTCTAAAGGGTCAAATGTCAAAACATTGAATAAAATGCATACTGGTGCATTATGGGTATGTTTATGCCTAAGCTCGTGAAGCACTGTACCACTTAAGAAGTCTCATATCCTCAGTGATTACCCAAAGTTCAGCACAGGAACACTGTGACGTAAAGTGACGTTCACAAAGGGTCACTCCATGTGATCTCGCACGTCTTGCACCAGACTGTTCTCACAGGCTTCCCACTTTGTTGTTGTTCCCATTTTTTTTTCTCACAAACGAGGAAACTCCTTGGTGGAAAAAAAAGCAACAGTGTGGGTGGAACTACAAGGAGGTCTCGTCCTGAGAGAAACCGCACTGCTTTTCTGAGCTGACAGAACTGTAGGCTCTGTACGGCAAGCCGCAGGATCCAAAATAAATGATTTTTCTCCTACGTGTTCTTGCATCAGTGATGTAAGAGGCAGCGTGTGGCCCAGCGGGCTAAAGCCTCTGTACCTACGATCGGAAGGTCCCCGCTTCATGTCTGCCTTTGGCAGAATAGTCACATGTCTGTGGGCCCTTAATCAAGGCCCCTAACCCCCAGCTCCATGGGCACCGCTGAGGCTCGCTGCCCTTCACTGCCAAGCTCGCTCTCACTTATGACTGTGTCATGGAGAGCATGGGGTAGGCGAGAAGAGAATTTCCCCACGGGGATCAATAAAGTGTCATTATTATTATAACATGGTTTGAGGGAGAGTCAGCCAATTGTGAGGCTGTCAGTCTAATATTTGTTAGAGGAGTGTGTATTTTAAAATATGAAAGGCTGAAAGTGCTCCACACCATGCTTGACTGAAGCTAATAGAGTACTTGAGTACAAATTAGCCATCTCTCCCTTTCTTAGACCTGCAGCTACAATGTTCTGTGCGGTAAATAGCTCTGCCAAGTAAAAAAAAAAAACAAAACAAATTAATAATAGCAGTTTGATGCATGAAGGAGGAAGAGAAATTGAAATTGGTCACATTAATTTAACTTGACCTTTTGAGTTGCTGTAATTCCATTCAGTGGGTATAATCCAGTACCTCAAGTGCAATAATTCAAGATTAGCTTGTCTTATTGTGACCTACAGACAATCGGATACTGTGGCCATGAAAGATTTATTGTGATATAGGCCCTTATATCAGCATGGCAGCTGAGTAATCATCCCTGAGACCTTTCCTGTCAGACACAAAGCTCTGCAGAAGCTGCGTCTTAGCATCAATGTTTGCGCCCCGCAGTTAACATTTCTGTTGCAATTTTATGGCCCTACTGGGACATGTGGAATAAATGCATATGACAGATATAAGCTTTAGTCATGCATACCATCTCTGTGAAGCACCTGTGTCAGCTGTCCTTTTCCATTAGTGTGGATCAATTTGCTCCAAAATGAACGTTCCTGCGTTTTGCCCATATCATGTCTCTGTCTGGCAAGCACGAGATTCATCACTGCGCTCCATGGTTTTTTTTTTAACGCCTGTTCCAGTCACATGGGATTAGCTGCTCCCTGGATATATGCAGCCGACAAAATAGCAGAAGCACTGCAGTCCTGAACACAGCTGCCGCTGTTGGTGGCATCTCCAGAGGGTGTCCTGTTCCTCTTCCCCTTCCACACTGTAAATCGTTTTAAGAAATGCCCGGGCTCCCCACAGCAGGCTGAGAGCCATAGGAAGTTTGTCTATTTTTGTAATGTTGTGGCACAGTAAAAACGCAGGGGATATCATCATCAAAAGGACACACCTCCCTGTCCTCTTCACAGCTGTGTCAGCTTCCACAGCTCTAGAGTTTCAGTGACGGAAGTCAACAGTATACGAGTTTGAGATGGTGGAATAAAACCAACATCTTCAAAAGACAATGCAAGAGTCAGCACATTCAAAATCAGCTCTCTAAGGCAGGGTGGGCAAAATTATCCGCAACGGGCTGGTGTATGTGCAGGTTTTTGGGATAACCTTTAGGTCAGCTATTCAAACCCAGGTGTGAGGACTCTTCAGCTAATCAATCCTGTAATTAGTAATCTAATCAGGGAGTGAAAACCTGCATACACAACAGTCCTTTCTGGATATGATTGCCCAGCCCTGCTCTGAAGAGTTAGACCACGTCAACATCGGAGTTTGGGGAGGATAACGGAAAACACAAGTTACAGCCAGATACTTTGTTCAAAAAGTAAACTAATTCTAAATCGAGCTGCTTTCCGCTTCTTCAGTGTGCAGAAGCTGAGCGAATTCTTCTCCGGTGAGGAGATAGGCGAGGAGCAGGATCCAAAAGGCATCGTTCCCACAAGCTCTGGTCATAATAACGCATACCAGGCAGTTGTAAGTATAGAATTATCCTTGGCCTTCTTGATTTCCCCTAGCCTGCCCTGTTATCAGATCCCCATCTCTTTGTGTACTGTTCTCAATAGCCTAACTGAATTACACATATTTGTATTTCAACGTAGCTGAGATACTTCTGGGTTTTTATGTTGGGCTGTGGCAGCCCTTGAAGGTGGTGAACCGGAAGCATCCAACCAGGGAGGACTGGAATAACTACAGACCTCAGAGGGAACATGACTGTGAAGCTCCCCTAAGCCAGGAGGATAATATGTGCATCAAGGTGAGCTGAGCAAGGTGATGCTACAACTAGGAGGTATATTGGGTTAAGTGGTTAGCTATATAAGCTAACAGGACCAAAATGACATGATTTTACAGACCAAATACTGCAAAGACCATGGGTGTTTTCCAATATGCATACTTGACCATTCTTGTGTCTTTCATTGCCAAAGACCAGTTCCAATACTCAAGAACAAAAGTACAGAGGAGGGTAAAAATCTCGAGATGTCGTTCTTGCCCCAAATATATATATTGGTCGCATCTTTGACGAATAAGACTAATCCCATGATTCATTGCGCCCCAAGTTCATTCTTGGAAGGCAGGAGAGCAAGACCGCTCTTGCCAAGACCACAAGTACAGTCTTTGTGTTCTTCGTATTAACAGACACCCCTTGTTGGATAATGATTTCAATAAGGCACTTGAGAAGTTCTGTCAGTGTTTGAATTCAGATGGGCACTACTATAGACGCCAATGTTAGTATCTATTCTGCCAGATAGTGCAGATAACCCTTGAGAACATATTTTCAGTATTGTTATATTTGCACAGTCCCAAGTGTTGGAGTGTATTTGGACATGTTTTTGATAATGTGTATCTGGCAGCTTCACCTTATTAGAGACGTTGTTGAGGTAAGTGTCAGGAATTAGCTATGCATGGAATGCAGTCAGTAAGATCACAGGACATATTTATAGTGTTTTGTGTCCATTTTCAATAAAAATTAAGGAATTGTCACATTAAAAGAATGCTTGAAATAGTTTACCTGTATGTCCTAATTCAGATTTTGACTGTTAGTAAGTATACCACGGTTTGACTTAACATGAAGATGCCTACAAAATCCTTCATAACATCTCACTAAAATTATTATTTAGCCTTATAAAGTCATAATTAAAGCTCAGTCCGCATCCTCTGGTTCTAAACCTGCTCTATCCAGCTAACTTGTTGACCAATTTCCACTAAGACAGATGGTCAAGGTACCATTATGCCACATTATGAAAGGTCAGAAAGGGGGTCCGTCAACAGAGGGGATCTGTCACATTGTGTTTGTCTGTGTGATCTCCACAGATAGTGAGTGGATACTTCACCTGGACAGATGGACCCCCAACTTTGTCGAACATAGACATCAAAATTCCCTTCGGTAAGGTGCTACATTTGAGCCATTAAGTTGTTTGATTGTATATTTCATTTTCAAATGTGCAAACGTATGTATGTGGGCGTGTGTACGTATCGCAGGTCAGCTGACCATGATCGTGGGGCAGGTGGGCTGTGGAAAATCTTCACTGCTGCTGGCAGCACTGGGCGAGATGCAGAAAATCTCCGGGACCATCACCTGGAACAGGTAAGAGGTGGAATCTAGTCCAAAATGTTTTGTTTTCTAAATGCCAGTTTAATTCTGGTCTGCATTTAAAATATAGACCTTTGATTTGGTCCATTCTAGATATCAGGGACCTACACACACACACAAGCACACATATGTGATCAATTGCTATAGGCAATTCAGAGAAGCCAACTAACCTAACTATGGGAGCACACCGGAATACCCAGAAGATTCCCATGCTGGATGTGCTGAGGTGGGATTTAACCCCCCGAATGTGGAGGTCTGAGGACACTGGCCCACCCACTCCAGTCCTGTTATTTCCACAAGTAACTCACATGAAACTGGTATCAAGCACAAGAAGCTATAAGTCAAATCAAACCAGTAGGGGAAACAGCGCCAAGTCCATCCATCAAATCAAATTGATGGATTAGCAGCAGCCTGTGGTGTGTTAATATTAAATTCCCATGCAATGAATATTTTATGTCTAATTTTTATTTGGCTATAGGAATATAAACACTATCACACTGTGGGACCATTCTTCACATTCAAACTAATTAAGTTCACTCAAACTAATAAATACCACAAAGTGACCTATATCAGATTAAATGGTAAATCGTCCCTGATGTTACGCTCCCAGCAGATTGTAGGCAGTAACACTGGCTTATTCCTTTCCAGAATATTCAAGGGTACTTCCTTCAGAATGTGACCAGTTTTTTTTTTAAGTCCCCAAAAGAACCCAATGGCATCGTAACTTAGCATAAGTTGGGCTTTGAAATCTACATCTAAAAGCTGATTTTAAGGACAAAAACCCAAGTGTACATTGTTACTGTCTTTATAAACAATGGACATTTCTGTCAGGTTATAGCTGTGTCCTGCTGATGAAGGGAGCTTACCAAAGCACTTGCCTTAGTTTTCAATGGGAAATAAGTCAATGTAGCTTTAAAGGCCGATTCATTACCAACAGTGTTGCCATTTTAAGCAAACATTCATCATTTTTCCAATTTACGAGTGGAATTCAATTAGGCAATAAAGTAGTATGTTATTTTCCAACCATGTGCTAGGGAACCGATAGTACTTCAATCTCTGTAAATCTTAATATCTGGCTGACGGAGAATTCACTTGGGAAAAGTGACTTTTTATACGACTGTTATGGAAATCAAACATTTTTCGTCTATAAAAACCAAGCTAAAAATCAATGTGACGTGGATTGGGCTCTATGAGAGACTGGTTAGCCTTATCGAAATGAACCAGGGGTAATAAAATAAAAGCTTTTTCAGCCCCGCTGAATGACACTTAAGCCCAACATCGGTCTCCTTTAGTAGACCATCTGCGTTATGATATAGACGGGGAAGTCAAATCAGGGTTGTTGTGCTGTTTGTAATTGTGATGTGGGTGTGGATTTCCCGCATTCTCTGCTGATAACATTTTGACAGGTATTGATGAGTGGTATTGGGCTATAACCAGGCCTGTACATCCTCTGTTCTCTGGCCAAGATCAGCAGTCTGACAAGACTCCGCCCTGGTACTGTCTGTCTAGCACACGCCTTATCAAGTCTATCAAAATGACAGATAATGAAGGTCCCAATTATAGAGCTTCCTCCTTCTCTTGCTTTTAAGTGACACAAACGGCTGGTGGTAAATGAGACCGCGGAGGCTTCTGGAACATGGCAGTTCTGCACGTTTCTGCACGGATGAGGAAAGCAAAATAAAAAAAGAAATAACCAAAAATAAATAAATTCCAGAAATAGCAATACTACAAAAGCAGAAATGTCTCTGTTGTGAAATAAAGGAACACAATAACCCTTTTCACTTGTCGTCCTCATCAAACAGTTGCATGACATTACATATAGTTTGAGCGTCATGTTCCAATATAGCAACTGCATGAATTACACCAAGGGTGTAGATCTTATATGGTATATATCTTCTGTGTAAACTTCAGGAATAGTTCAGTAGCAAAGCAAAGGTATGAGGTGCTGTATTTCCTGTATGGTTCTGTTGATATTAGGGTGCAGAAAGGAACAAGTTCTATTGCCACAATTGTTCAAGCTATTTTTAACCAAAAAAACCTAAACACTTCAGAAATACATACAATTTTAGGATTGACCTTTTAAGTTGCAAAGTCAACACAACAAAAACAAACAGAAGCTGACATAGTCTGTAATTATTTAATTATCCTCTTGATCTGGCACACAGACCTATCGGTTCCACTTTAACCCAAAAGGGATGTAATGAATGGGTCATTAGAGATAAACATTTCTAAGGCTGGGAGCCTCTTTAGAACTCCACCAAATGGACCGCGCCATAATCTGCTCTAAACCATGCTGGTTTTCTCTACTGAGTTGACCTCCCGTTTCTTCAACTGACCCACATTTGGCCTAATATGCAGACATTGCGATCGGATCCTCAGGGATCTCAAACCACCAGCATCTCCATTTAAGGGGTTTACAGAGGAGGTGAGGTATCTGCGATCCCCCAAGATAAAAGTGTGTGCAAAGACAGGGTTCTCAGCAGTGAACTTTTAACAAAAAACGTTTTTTTGGTGAAGCTACTGTATTATTATCATATGCCCAAGGCTTTAATTCTTATCTTTTCAAGCCCGACATTTTCTTGGGCAGTTCGTACATTAGGTGGTAAGGGGTCACTGTTTCTAAAATAAAATGAAAAATAAGCCCTTCCTTGCCTGCAGTACATGGAAAAAGGCCAAAACAAAGAAATGGCTGCAAGCTGAAGTTCTCTTTATCTACTGCCTACTTTCTTCATAAGCATGTAGCTGGTGCTGGAATGAACTGGTTCTGAGGCAAAACGAATTCAACAAACGGAAAGAAACAGCGGAGCCTCCCCACAATAGGGGGTCAGACCCAAATCCACTTCCACCTAAAACAAAACAAATCTGATAAACAAAAAATTGCCTCCAGCCCAATAAAAAAAATGGAAATTAAATTATATAACAAGGACAAATGAAAGTGGCAGGGAGGGCACAGCAGGGCGCCTCTATGCCAAAATGGTAGGACCACTGCCAGTCATGTCAGAAGCACGATACGGCGAGAGCAGTTCATTAAACATTTGGCAGGCTCCTCACTCACCTGCCTCATCATCCGGGCCAGACTGACACACCTAGAACACACTTAGAATCTACACTTAACTGGGGGAGCACAATGAATACCCAAAACACAGGGACAGATTGTAAAACAATACAAGCTCATTTGATTTGACTTGATTAGTCTCAGCATGCAAAATTCATCTGGTCCTTGCAGTTTCTGTGAACTTCTGCCTAACCAGCATTGCTCTGTCCCATTTACAGTCTGTCTGACCCAGATTCAGAAGATGAAAGGTACGTCTTCCATTGTGACAGAGAACCATTATTGTTCACCTTTGTATTCATTTGAAGCTCTCGGGGCAACAGTAGATAAGCTCAAGTGACAGTGAGAGTATCTCCATTGAAGTAACACTCATTTGATCATTTCTGCATGGCTGGTGGTTTGAACGCCACTTTATTAAGCAGTTTACAAGCATCCGTCTCCATCAGCAGTTCTCATGCACGGCTCACCATAAAGTGTCAGACGGCACTACTGAAATACCACAGTACGCATGTCCCTGTGATCTGAACAAACCAAAGATAATGAGAGAAGTGTAAGGGGAATGGTGTCACTGTCACATCAGTGACAGTCCCCTTGACAAGATCACAGAGAAGCCTCCTCTCTGGTTGGAGCGGAATGAAAGGCAAGGAGATATGAGGCATGTCACTTACGGGCAGAAAGAAGGTTCTAGAAAACATTTGGGCTATCAAGATACCATGCCTTATGATATATGAAATTAGTACCTTTGGGGCATTGAACTTAATTGATGTTTGATTCATATTAGTCTGCATCAGCAGCTCTTTGGGAAATGGCTGTGGAGAAGCATTAAACATATTGAGCATTTATTATTAAATCTTTCTGAATGTATTTCATGTGTGTTTCACAGCCCGTCAGATAAGGATGCAGCTGTAGAAGGAGATTCCAGGTAAAACTAATTTTCAGACTGAACTTTTTTTTTCTCTGCTAATGCTGCAGTAGAATACCAAGTGCTCTTTCCCAAAAGATATGAGCATAATCCAGGAAGACTTTAAATAATTTAGTGTTAGTGCTTAGTTCAAATCATTTGCGCCAATTCAGCGTTACTCAAGTCCTTCATCTTACACGGGTCAGCTTGCCCGAAATCTGCCACCGTCGGTACACCAGAGGAAGGTTCTATCTGAATGCTTCTGGGCTTGCCAGCTCATCATTTAGAGCTTCCTGGTGTTGTGTTTCTTGCTGACAGGAAGAGAGGGTCTGTAGCATACGCCTCCCAGAAGCCCTGGCTCCTGAACGCCACCCTTGTGGAGAACATCACTTTCGAAATGCCCTTAAACAAGCAGAGGTAACCGGCGCCTCATTCTATCCCACGCTCTTGGACCAGACAACTATAATTTGACATTTTGCTCCCTGCTAGAGTCACAAGTGCATGTAGCTCAGGGATTCCCAGTGCAGCTTCTGCTGTGCATTCTGGCTTTAGTCTCATTTAAGCCATTTATTTTGAATTAATGACAAAATTGAATCATGTCCACTTGGAATTCGCCCAGTTTTTGGAGTCTTACTGAGAGAATTTAGAGACCAGCAGACATTGTTGACACACCACAACAAAACGTGTCCTCTGCATTTAACCCATATGTGACATCATAACTTGGCAGGGGGCAGCTAAATCAGCACCCGGGGAGCAGTGCTTGGGGGCGATACCTTGCTCAGGGTACCTCAGTGGTGCCTTGCTGGTCGGGGATTCGAACCAGCAATCTTTCAAGTTACAAGTGTGCTTCCCTAACCATTAAACCACCACATGTGAATGCATCCCTCCATTTTCCAAGTTTGCTTCTAAAGGATAAATTACTTAATAACAATGACTATAGTTAAAATGCACCTGAAGGCAATGTGTGTACACCATATAATTCCCTCTGTTCAATGTGCATGACTAATGAAACAAAGCTAAGTAAATTAGTATACATTACTCAGCCACTGTTTTAAAGTGGTTTAATATCTAGAGGCTGAAACACAATGGTTAATTACGATTCCTTCACACGTTCTGCTCAATGTGACTATAATTGTGTGATTCATTCAGCCAACAGTTACATTTGGATCAATTAAGGTTTATGAAGCCCATAATTTACATTGGCCTGCCAGATCCAAGGTGGTGAACGCTGAAGAAAACTGCATTTACTGTGTGTTTTCCAAAGGCCGTCTGAGAAAAAAAAATCAGTGCTATCCACGTTAATTATCATACTTCCTTTTTGCTTAATGGATTGGAAAAGAGACCAAACGTAAACTCTGCCGTGTTGCTGTGGTGATACCTGCTGGTCTGTAGACCCCCCCCCCCCCACCTCCTTACTACCCGCAGTCAGAAATTACTGCCTGTGGGCAGCTCCTGTCGTCCACGGCGTTTCTGAAGCGAGTTCCCCCCCCCCACACTCATTTTCTGTAATATAGTGACCCTGTGAGTGTTTAACAGAGTGTTGTAAGGGAGAAAATGAGGTGCACATATAGTCACAAGTATTTAAAAACACAAAGACTTTCTGAAGACGGAGCTTTTGAGACAAATGTTTACAGCAAAGGAGCATGATTATTTCTATATAAACTAGTATTTAACTCCTAAAAAGTATTTTGACTACTTACGATGGTATTTTGAGCAATAATTGTATTACTTATTACAAAGCAATCTTTTTGTATACTAAATCATTCGGAGAATGTCATATTAATAATTGCAAAATAAGCTAGTTATGTTGGTGTTTGACTCAATACTATCAAGGCTTCCAGTTAAAATTCCTTGAAATGTAAGTGTAATCTCCAGCCCTTAACTCCTCAGCCCTACTTTCCTGCACTCTGCGGAAATTCTCCGTCGTCATTATCACATGCGTGTTCCCCAGGTACAGAACTGTCATCGATGCCTGTTCTCTGCAGCCAGATATAGACATACTTCCACAAGGGGACCAGACAGAGATTGGAGAACGGGTCAGTTTTCATTCAGCGACAAGCCATCTAATTCCATATGCGTACCCTCACTCGTGTACACGCTCATACTCTCACTGCAAACACTGCGAACGTTACAAGATAAATGTAAAGTCTATGAAGTAAACTGCTTAAACATTTACAAATATATAAAGATGCCTTCACAATACCCTCCATTATGCAGATTATTTATTTGTCTGTCAGATTATCCTCTATAGCTGCTGCCTGCATTGTATATATATTTGTTTTCAGCATCTGTCCATAATATGTGGAACTATCTAACAATTAGGTAACATCATTAAAAAAGAATAAATTCAGCGCAAACCCAGTATGAGACATGGGGGTTAGAGCAGGACACGGGGCAGCCCTTTGACATCATGTAAAGGTGGACGATTAACAAACCATTACCCAATGATGTCATCCTCGTGCCCAAGTATAGACACATTTCTAATCATGTTAGAGAGTTTTTGCATTCATCAAAACCTGATATCAAACGGTGGGCGATGCACGGATTCATGGTGTGCAACGGACACCGTGATCATCTGACACAATGACTGTGAAGACCCGCCCCCATTCACACCGTCAGCCTGTCATCCCATTTAAAGCACCGACACTTAGCTTTTCCTCGCATTCACACTGTAACCTGTGATGTTTGAGCTGGTTTGTTGCTCAGTCTCTCCCTCCTTCCATCAGGGGATCATTCTCTCTGGAGGACAGCGGCAGCGCATCAGCGTAGCCCGAGCTCTCTACCAGCAGACTAATGTCATTTTCCTGGTGAGTGGAGGCCTCTTATCGCATCTCCATCGTCATCCTCCAGGTTTTTTCACGTTCGCCGTGTTGCCCAAACAGAGGTCATCGGGAAATGAATAGCGCCGTTAACTCAAACTGTCTTATTTTCCTTCAGCCTCTCCGGCTTTCTGCTTAGTGACTGACACATATTGGAGTCAGTAGTGTCACCACAAAGCTGTGACTCACTCTGTTCCTCTGGCTATGCTCTCCCATTTCCAGCAGATGCTAATGTCACAACAGAGGGTAGCATTATTGATTAGATGGTGCTGGGCACTTGGTCCTCAAAACAGAGAGATAAACTGTGTTGTTTAACTGGCCCACATAAACATACGGCAGTATATACATACACAGTATTGGCTTCCATTTGTCTACCCAGCTTTACTGATCATGCAGATTTAGCCCTGGACATGAAGGGCTTCCCAACTACATGATCTCACCCCCCCTCCCCCCCACCTATTAGGATGACCCTTTCTCAGCCCTGGATATCCACCTGAGCGACCACCTGATGCAGGAGGGAATCCTCAAACTTTTGAGAGAGGAGAAGAGGACAGTTGTGTTAGTCACTCACAAGCTGCAGTACCTCCCTCACGCCGACTGGGTGAGCGACGCACGTTTGCTCAGCCTGTCAGCATCCGCTCAGCACCAGCAACGTCAGGATATCTGTGTCGGCTGGGGCAGCCATGCCCACATTTGGTGAAAAGGGTTTTGATTGACTGGAGAGGGAATCCTCTCTATAGTGACCCTTTCACCCGTTTCTGCTTCAGATAATCGCCATGAAGGATGGTACCATTCAGACAGAGGGGACACTGAAAGACATCCAGAATTCTGAGCCCCAGCTGTTTGAGCAGTGGAAAACCCTAATGCATCGGCAGGACCAGGAGTTTGAGAAGGTGAAACAGCTTCCTCTGAATAGAGAGGAAGTCCACTCTAACGCCAGTTCAACCACAAATTCACCTACTGCAAATGCAGCCTAAGGAAACAGATAAAGGACTTCATCGTTCTCCAAGCTTTGAAATAATTACTCAATCGTGCCAAGTTACAGACACCGGAACTAATCATGTCCACCAAACCTTCATATAGAAGGGTTTGCGTGACGTCACCGAATCTACACGTTTTTATAAGACTCCATTTTGTGTGTGAATTCCCCTTTCCTCTCTTCTCAAAGCATTGTGCTGTGGTCTCAGGAGACAGTGACTGAGAGTTTGACGGCACTGGAGAGAAAGAACTTACGGAGAGCCATGTACTCCAGGGAGGCACTGAGAACAGAAGATGGAGATGAAGGTAAGAAGATAGCCAACATGCATTTGATAGACATATAGAGACATATGCTTTACCTTTAGCTCAGAATGGATTACTTAAAATCTATCTGTTCGTACTGCTTTCAACTCCAAATCTCCACTCAAAACAAGTTCTAGTTTTACAGCAACGATATACTTTGTCATAATTAAAAACTGCCAGATGTTTGATCGAACTTTTTACGTATTACTTTTATGTAGGCTTAGTCCTAGCTGTGTCTGGTCTCATGTACATGTTGGTCTGTTGTTGTCTTTGAATGTTGTCATGGAATCTTTGATGTCTGTAGCTCCAGGACGTGTTATTTAACATGTGCTGTCTTTTCTGTCTTGGTGGCATGTCTGTGTGGACACTTGTGGGGTCTCTCCAGCAACCGGTGTTGCTCTTAGTGCTGACACAGGTGCGACAGAGATGCGTGGTGCTCTGAATGCCTTTGGGTGTGACGCTCTCTGCTTTGCTTGAGCTCCATCCCGTCTGCTGTTGACTTCACCGTCATGCCGCTCGCTTCTCCCTGATTCCCACACACTTCCACTGCATGATGTCATGGCGTTTCTCAGGCATGATGACTTGTGGCTATGATCTGTGTTGCAGTGCCTTCTCCCTTATTTGGTTTCACCCCCCCCCGCAACACACATTCTTATAAGCTGTACATGTGAGGGATTAAAAATGTAGGAAGAACCTGGCTTGACTATCTGTCTTGCGTTTACAACTCCCACGTCAGTTCCTGGGTGTCCAAAGGGAGATCATCAACACCATCTATTCATAATGCAATATCTCACATGATGCATTTGAAGCAGTAGCACACCACACTTGCATTGAACAGCTTTCCTTAAATAGAGACAATCGGCAGTTTTGGGGGCCTTAGTTTAAACCTCAGATTAGCAGTACTAGAACTATAAAAGCTGTCTGTGACAAAGCAAGCAAAGTAAAGATAACAGTGACCGAGATTCTTAGAACATCAGTGTGAAAGCCTGACCTGCACCTTAATATCTGTGCCTCCGGAATCTAGCACCTGGGAGCTCTGACACCATTTAAACCTTACAGGTGTTGCAGGTGCAAAACACATCCCCCATGACTCAGTAACAGATTAAACAGTTGGCGTTTAATCATCTCCCTCCAGGAGTGCTGTATCTTCTAAGTCCTCCCTTTATGCAGTCTGCAATCATCGTATTTTCATAGAGGCAGACCAGGCCTCGTCATTTAATTATATTTCCGCTTCCTTGTGTAATTTGAGATGACCTACGGTAGTTTGAAGTGCTTTTTATTAGTAATTTTCTGGCTGCAATTTAGAATAAAAATGAAAACTGAACAAAACAGACATCGCGAGTTAAGCTGAGATATCTTAATAATTGATTTGCCTTTCAGGTAATCCGTAGGGTTGCTGTATAATGCATTTTGTTTACATTTTTATACTTAGAGTAGAAAACTTTCACTTATGGTTGTTTGTTCACTTTGGTGCCCCCCAGAGGAGGAGGTCAGCGAGAGCGACGAGGAGGACATACTGTCCCAGGTGCTGCGTCACAGGGCAGCCATTCCCTGGAGGGCGTGCGGCACCTACCTGACCTCGGCCGGCCTACTGCTGCTCCTACTGCTGCTCCTCTCCCAGCTGGCCAAGCACTCGATGATGGTGGCCATCGACTACTGGTTAGCCCACTGGACCTCCCACGTCATCACTGCCAAGATCGAGGCTGTCGGGCACAACTGCACTCTGGGCCGGGTGAGGCGGGGTGGATGGGGTAGAGGTCACCAGATATTACGCTGAAGTTAAATCTATGCCGGGCGGTTTTGCGGGTTAATGCCCGTGACTGACAGGTCATCAGTTCAAATCCCTTGGCCGGCAATCATCAGGGTTTAGATCAAGGCCCCAGTTGCTACAGGAACGCCTGATGTCGACTGACCCTGAATTCTGACCCCAGAAATATGCTCTCACTTATATTTACAGTCCTGTGCAGTCAAAGAAAAAGTTTAAAGCTATTTATCTGGGTAGTAAATGTATTCCTGCTAATTCTAAATTTAGAATTAGAACGTATGCAAATTAAGAATAAAAAATAAACAAGAATTTCTCGTGTTCTACAGAAAAGTTCAGGATTTTTTGGATTTTTGTTGGATGGCTAGAAGAACACTGCTTCCTTTATTAAATTTCACCACCAGCTCTTTTAATTAATTAAGCAAATTAGCTACATTTCTCAGTGAGGTCCAATTAGCCAGACAAGATGTACTAGTAGTCAATTAAAAAATACAAGGGTCTTGGACAGTTGCCGCAAATACTGATGTGACATTAGCAGAGGTTTGGAAATGGCCATAAAACAGATTTATTCCAGCATGAAGATCATTTCGACATTTTCTTTAACTGACTAAGACTTTTGCACACTTCTGTATGTCTGTGTGTCTCATGGAGAGCAAGATGAGATACGTCTAAATTCTACGTTATAGACTCTTAAATATCTTGAATGTTATACAGTATCACCACAAGCCAGATTGTGTCAGGAGGAGAACAGGTGGTATGTGGTCTCCTGGATCTTATTAATAGAAGTTCTCGCAGCTGTCTGGCTCCAGCCAAATACCAGGTCCCATTTCAGCAAGTCATCTGTCAGCTGACTCATTGAGCTCCAGATGCGACAGGGGCTCTGGGAACGCGGGTGACAGCCACCGGCCACGTTTGTCACACTCACTGTCCCTCTTTGGGAGATAGCTCATTGATACCAGCCACACGAGTCTGCAGATAGGGCCTTCAAAGCCACAGTCATGCAGTCATTAGTTGGGGCTAAAAGGGCAAAACAAGGAGCACAAAAGGACAGTCACCTTGTCTGTCATCATGCAGTCGCTAATATGTAAAAGAAACGTGTTTCTGTCCGCAAATACAGCCATTGCTATTGACCAACCCGAGTCCAAACAAAAGCTGAACCGTCCACATCTGCTTTCGTCTGGCTGGGGGTCATGTCTACTCTAACCTGCCTTGTTTATTTTGAGCCGCCTGAGAACAAAAGTGCAGACCTTCAGGAGATAAAATATGTCCCTTTCCCATGAGTAACTTTGCGCTGCCATTTAAAGATTGCGATAATGATTTTAGCCGCACATTTTATGAGCAGGTCAGGTCCCAATTCCTTATCTGCCAGAGTCCATTTGTCTCGGCCGGAGGGGATCGGTGACAGTGATGTTCTGTAGACTCCAGGATATTTTTCAGACTTAGAAAATCACAATATTGATTTTCAGCAAGTTTCAGGAATGCAAATGTTGTTTATAAAATGACATTAGTATTCCACTCTATAAGACGACTTAGAATAATGTCTAAATAGGAGATCTGGTGAAAAACAATGGAATGATTTATTACCGTAGCTCTGAGCCGAGTCTGACAGCTGGCCACTTATGTAGCAGAGTCGCGGTGCCGAAAGCCGCCTTAACGGCAGCATGAAAGTGCAAGGGGGACTTTTTAGTGCTTTAATGTGTGTTTTTGGGCCCTGTTTCTTTGCACAGCCTCTCCTGGGAGGCTAGCAGCTGTCTGTTCAGAGGCCACCAGTGCTGTCTCGTTACCTGGGCAACTTAACGACCTAGAGGGAGTTAAGAATTTAACCATAACAAGCTATATCTGCTGTCCATTTCATGCCTAAATAAAAAGGAAGAATGAGACATGGAGACACGTGGGGTATGGTTGTTTGCGGCTGCCCAGTCTCCCCCCTGAGCCTTGTCTCCGTTCCCCGCAGGGCTGCCCCTTCAGCCACTCCTCCTACCTGCTGGTGTTCAGCGTCCTGTGCTGCCTGGGCATAGGCCTGTGCCTGGTCACCTCCGTGGCCGTGGAGTGGACAGGCCTGCGTGTCGCTAAGGAGATGCACCACAAACTGCTGAGCCGAATCATCCTGGCGCCCATGAGGTCAGTGCTGCCGGATCCACGCCCCCACCCCGACACCCACCCCCGACACCCACCCCGACACCCACCCCCGACACCCACCCCGACACCCACCCCCGACATTATCGCGGCAGCCATCCCACCATGAGCACATGCCTCCTTCCCGGTCCATTTATCTTTATATATCCCCCATCCTTTTAAATGGCCCCCAGGCTTGAACCAATTTCTCACTGTAACCCTTTTAACAGGATTTTCGGTAACGCTTTACATTAACTGCACCTTCATAATGCTTTTATATTGCATTCATGGAACATTCAGTACAACTTAATAAAGTATTTCTTAAGTATTCATAGAACATTCATAAACATCGAGTATGTATACCTTAACATCATAACATCCCTTAACAGTTGTAATATACATTAATAACAAACATTATATAATAATAACAAACATTATAATTGTATAATCATGTAATGTTTGTTATTAATGCATATTAAAGCTATTAAGGGATATTAGGATGTTAAGATGTACTTGCATGCTGCTTATGAATGTTCTATGAATGCATTATGAAGGTGCACTGAATGTTCTATGAATGCATAATGAAAGCATTATGAAGGTGCAGTTAAAGTAAAGCGTTACCGGATTTTCTGTGTTTGTGCGTCTTCTAAAACCAACAAGTACATTTTATCATAACAAAAGGCTGCATATTTCATTATGATGTTATTTCATCTAGAACAGTTAATGTTAGTTCATCTTATTAGCTGATTCCTCTGGACTTTAGCTCCTAGCACAGTGGAATGAATAACAACTGAAGAGCAAGAATTTCCCTCTGAGATCAATAAAGTTAATCTAAAACACATCTAAAACAACAGTAATATTATGACCAAAAGGCCAAATATTTGACGTTCAAGCACTGACTTGTTCGAGTTGCTCTGCCAGTGGATGCCCTTCATGTCCCCTGGAACTGTAGGATAGTCCCTGTTTTTAAGCTCCTCCTACTTCCCTCCCTAGACGATAACTACAGTATTAAATATAAAATATCCTTTGTCAACTATCTAGTCACACCCTGGACATGAGTAGCTGTGACGTTCACAGGGAATTCCCTCCTTATGTACATTTCCTGACACTCTACTTTGACACATCCAGTAGGCGTCTTCCTGGATTTGTGAGTGTATGTGTTTTGGGTGGGGGGCACATGTGCAGCATCTGTTCATCAGGGTAATGGGGCAGGCAGAGCCCTTAACTAGTCAGTTATGCCCCAGTGACAGCAGGTAGACGGAGCAATCACAATGACAGGTTATTTCATGCCTGTTAATCGTACTCAGGGGGCGGCACCCACTGTTACCCTGTTGTGTTGCTCTCAGGCTCTTCGAGACGACTCCTTTGGGAAGCATTCTGAACAGATTCTCGGCCGATGCCAACACGATCGACCAGGTACGCTTATGGTACAGCTACAGCCTCATTAATCATTTAGTTAACCAAGTCATTTGCACAGGTGAAGTAAGGCAACGTGGCGAACATGCAGGTAAACAGCTCCACAAAGGCCAAGAAGATGGAAACATCCAGTTTTGACTACAGCTTTTACCCAGGTTTCGATGGGGTTATGTTCCCTTCCATAAGGAGAAATGAATTTTAATACAGTACACCTAACCTAACAAACATCATAGCCTAACCTACCTTAAACATGCGTAGAACACTTACATTAGCCTGTAGTTGGGCAAATTCATTTACACAAAGCCTATTTTATAATACAGTGTTGAATATCTCATGTCATTTATTGAATAATTTTCTGAAAGTGAAAAACATTTACCCATCGTAAAGTTGAAATATCGTAACTCGGACCATCGTAATGCGGAGAGCCTCCGTATTTTTATGATGTCCTTGCATAATAAGTGTGCAATATACCTCAGTTAATTAAGCATCCTTTTTTGGAATTAAGAAGTTCAGAGGATGGAAATGCTGGACATTCAAAGCTTTTTAATTATGACTGGAGGTGGATATTTCTGGTCCAGAAAGTGGAAATCCAGACCAAGATTTTGTTTCCAACAGCCAGTTGAGTATAAAGAGTCACAGTCACAGAGTACTCAACTGGTTGGTTGAAACAAAATCTTACTTACTTACTTTCTGGACCAGAAATGCCTGCCTCTGATTATGAGTGTGCAGAGACTCCTCCAGAAATAACAGTTATAACTGGACGCCTGGTGTAATTAATGCGGCCAGCTAATCCTAACCCTAACCCTAAACCTAACCCAACACATAAACACTGCTTGGTTTCAGCACATCCCTGCCACCCTGGAGTGCCTGAGCCGCTCCACCCTTTTGTGTGTCTCCGCCCTGGGTGTCATCTCCTACGTCACGCCCGTCTTCCTCATCGCCTTTGTCCCCCTGGCCATCGCCTGCTACTTCATCCAGAAGTATTTCCGGGTGGCCTCCAGGTGACCCTCGTGTTCTGTCGACTGAGCCGAAAACACCATTAATGATAGCACCAGTGCTAATGGCTGCACCTATAGCTTTATAATCAATGATTAGCTAGATTACAGCAAACCTGCACTGCTTCACAGCATTGTTTTATACAAGCTGTTAAATGGTTAATCTATAGTATTTATAGTGCTGTTTTATGTTAAGGGCTCTTCTGTGTACTATTGGGAACCCATTAAGCTCTGTATCTGAATCCCCTGCTAGCATAAGCAGCCTTATGCACAGGCCTGATTTTGCTGACTATGCCCACTCACCCCCATGCCCACCCCACCTCCTCCCTCATTGGCAGGGACCTGCAGCAGCTTGATGACACCACACAGCTGCCGCTGCTCTCTCACTTCTCCGAGACCGTCGAGGGCTTGACTACCATCCGTGCCTTTGGGTAGGTCGCACTATGCCTGGCGCTTGCTGCCTCTTGGAGGAAAGGGATCCATGGAGACGTGGAACAAAAATAACACGTCACCTACTGAAGAAAATAGGTTCCGTTTCCAAGGAGCGGTTTTTCTCAGAAGTACCATTTAGACACTGATATCTGTTAGATAAAAATTACTGAAATTTGAAGGAAAAACAATGGTGTCACTATTCTTTAATTGTTTAACTCATTTTAATCTCTGATTTTTCAACCAAATAATTTTTGTTATGCACCATTGTCTATTCGCTGCAGGTATGAAGCCAGGTTCAGACAGAGGCTGCTAGAGTATGTAGACGCCAATAACATCGCATCACTCTTCCTCACTGCTGCCAACCGCTGGCTGGAGGTCCGAATGGTAATTACCCACAAATCCTAATGAACATAATTATAACGAATTCATTCAGCGCGGATACTAAGTAAAACTAGTAAGTGTGACAAAATTAGTCATAACCAGAGTCCAGAATCTCTATCTCTTGGCTCACTCTTTCTTAGTCCAGTTTATGCTTGGCTTATAAATTGGCTACATTCACATTTGTTACATATAAAATATTTCTAATATTTTTGATATTTGAACCAATTTTAAATGTGCAGAGAATAGTAGTACTTTGATGTCAGAACACAGATCAAAAAAATCCAAATAAAGGTTGTCAAGTGATTAACTGTTGGTGTAGTAAGAATAAATGTAAACATGAGCATTACACACTATACAATTACATTAACATTAATATTTGAATCAGAATATATATATAATCATTTAAAATGGCAATAGCAATAGGGAAATCATAACAGTGAATGCCCTTGGTGTCTTGGTGCCCTTGGTAGTTTACTTTTTGCATTCAAGCAAAGCTGAGTTTATGATTAAGATTTATTATTTATACCTGTGTTTTATAATGGCTAATGTTGGTTAAGAATTGCTAGCTAGGCCTAAATGTTACATTTGTATTTAACGCCAGCAAAAATGAATATATGTTTAGGTGTGCATGTGTGTAAATATGATGTTATATCAATTATTTGTTATAATCTTTATCCTTAAAGCAATAGTGTGTTTGTGTACACAATCAGCGGCCACTTGACTAGATAATCAGATACAGTATAACACAGGACACACTTTTGCCTGTAGAAGCACATCCAGGGTTGACATGTTCTGCTGAGCTTGAGGCCTTCCTGTTTGTTTTAACAAGCCAGGCCATTCTCCTCCAGCCTTACTCATTAACAAGGTGTTTCCCTGTCAGTCACACTATTCTCTGTAAAGTCTCAGGAGGGGGTCTGTTTCTAAGGTGCTGGGGATGCTTTACACCACGTTTAAAATCTCTTAGATCAGACATGTTGGCCATTCTAATGCTTAGCCAAACAGTAAGTGAACCTCTTGATGCCCCTCTTTGTCGCACAGATATTGAGTTGCAGTCACAGGATTAGCTGTATTTGAGGAGCAGGATGTTTGTGTGAATGAGAGACATACCTAATAAAGTGGCCACTGATCACTTATCTGTATTTATCTGTAATGCCTGTAAACCAGGGGGATGAAAAAAATCCTGAGCAGAGTTTGGCTTCTAATAGAGTGACCAGATAATCCATGTCAGGGAGAACACTTTGAGCTACTTCAGGTTTTACAAACCACTTTAAAACCGAAAGGCCCTTGTGATTGGCTAAATAATTCAGTTCTTCCAGGCACTTTAATTGTAATGGTAGTTTACAAATCCTGCTCCGGCTCAAAGTATCCTCCTGACATGGATTATCTGGTCTCCCTAAGTCTTCTACAAATCTATTAAATAGAAAATGTTATGTTATGATTATGTTTTGTTTAGACAAAGGATTACCAGAACTAGGAGGGTGAGGATGTGTCATCTCCAGTGTTTGCACATGGTGTTTTAACAGGAGTATATTGGCGCCTGTGTGGTTTTAATTGCGGCAGTGGCATCCATAACCAACTCTCTGTACAGCCAGCTGACCACCGGGCTGGTGGGACTGGGCCTGACCTACGCGCTGATGGTGAGAGCAGAACCAGCCAGACTAAACGTTACATCTAATGCTGTGTCATATTACATTAGTTAGCACTTCTGTAACTCGGTGTTTCTCAGTCCGGTCTTTGGGAACACCCAGATGGTCCAGGTTTTTGCTCTCGCCCCAACTCCCTGGGAGCCGGGGTGGGAGCAAAAACGCGGAGCACCTGAGGACTGGTTTGAGAGACGCTGCTGTTACTGACTTGTTAGTTCAGAAATGTACATTTCACCATTTTTTCCCTGCTGGATATATACTGAAATAAATACCTAGAAAAATCAAGGTACACTGCAGCCTATCTGCTCAACTCATTTTCAGTAATCACTATGCCCCCTGCTGTTAGAAAAAAACTTGTAAAAGATGAATGGAGGAGAAGTTGAGCATAATCCAGTCAAGGCACAATGTTACTATTCAATATGGACTTTAAGCGTAATAATGCAACTATTAAAAAGCAGCAAATAAGGAACATTCGACCACTGCGTCTTACTAGGTGTCGAACTACTTGAACTGGATGGTGAGGAACCTGGCAGATATGGAGGTGCAGCTGGGTTCCGTGACGAGGATCAGCGGGCTTCTGAAGACCGAGCCGGAGAACTATGAGGGCCTCATGTGTGAGTGTGTCCTCCGGGACAGTGTGCAGGGGTGGGGGTGCGGGCGGGGGCTGGAAGAGGGCATCGCAGCCAGTGACCCCTCTCTCTGCGGGGAAACAGCCTCCGCCCAGGTCCCGCCAGGCTGGCCGGAGCAGGGCGAGATCCAGATCCAGAACCTGAGTGTCCGCTACGACAGCACGCTGAAGCCCGTCCTGAAGAACGTCCATGCCCACATCAGCCCGGGGCAGAAGGTACTGCAGGGTGACTCCGCGTATACTGCCCAATATTTTAATGGCAGATCTATGGCGTGTATTTATGGCGTATCTATGGCATGGATTTATGTTATGGCATGTTCAATACATGTCATAGATATGGCATAAATCTTTGCCTTAGATACGCCATACATCCATGGCAGACATACGTCATAAATGCATGTATGGCATGGATTTATAATATATCTACGGCACAGATTTCTGATGTATCTATGGCATGTATTTGTGGTGAATACCTGCATCTGTATTCAGGGAGAGGGTCCCATTTCAAGTAATTCCAACAGTCCTCTCATCACGTGATGAAAGACATTTCTAATGCCGAGCCAATAAGGAGCGGAGGCGTGTTAGAATGCGACCTGCATGTCGCCGGACGGGGGCACGCTCAGCGCTGACACGCCGTCTCTCCCTCCCCCCTCCGCAGGTCGGAATATGTGGCAGGACGGGAAGTGGGAAGTCCTCCTTTTCCTTGGCATTCTTCCGCATGGTGGATGCGTTTCAGGGTAAATGTGAATGTCTTCATTAGTGCATAGGACAAGAAGGCTGAGCACCTGCTTAGAGGCAGGTATTTAGGTATCTTTCATATAGTTATATATCATATACTTATTTATTTAATATGATTATTTACATAGTGAGGGAACACTATTTATTATACAGATAAATATGTTTATATACAGATAAATTGTGGATATTTTTCTTCTGTTTCTATGTATAGCATTTTATCATTGTGTTTACTGACAGGGCAAATAATCATTGACGGGATCGATATTGCCAAGCTTCCGCTTCAAACCCTGCGATCGCGGTTCTCCATAATCCTCCAGGATCCCATCCTATTCAGTGGGACCATCAGGTAAGGAGCCCCCCCCCCCCCCCCACATATAAAATGGAGTGGCCCTGCTCCACGCTTGTGGCCCCGTCCAAAGATATGGAACACTGAAAGTGTCTCATAAAGATTTCCTGTTGTCTGGCCCTGCCAGATAAGGGCTTTCAGAAACAAACCTTTACCTTATTTCACAACATAGTCAGAACAAAAACAGTAATTATGTAGAGGTGTTTTTCAATAATAAAATCAATCAATGCAAATTGTTATTTAAACGAGCAGTAATCTGTCTTGCCATTGACAGTATAAGTATGTATAGGCACGTACATTTTTAATATGGCAAACACCTTGTCGTTATGTAAGCAGTTTGCAGTGTCTTCCTGTAATTTTTCAAAGCATATTTGCTTATAATTCTTCCCCCATGATAAAACATAATTTGGATATGCTCTATGCGAACTGCAAACAGAGCTCCTGGTATTATTCTTCCGGAAGCTGGTTGAGTTTGCTGAGTTTTGTTTCGTTTTTGCTGGTGCGCAGGTTCAACCTGGACCCAGAGAAGAAGGCCACGGACAGCATGCTGTGGGAGGCGCTGGAGATCGCCCAGCTCAAGCCCGTGGTGAAGTCACTGCCTGGGGGCCTCGGTAAGTCTCATCAACCTCGGCGTCTCCAGCCATCCCGCACGTGTCTGAACTTGAGATGACCTCCACCGGACTCTGAAATAACAGTGGAAGAGCTGCCGGCATTGCCATGAACAATTCATACTCTCGTTACTGCCAGACGAGAAGTGGCTGCATTTAGAGAAGCCGGTTATCGAATCCACTGATGGACGAGTGGGAATATCTCCTGCAGGATGTTATTTCAATTGGCCCTTGCCTTTGCAGAGAAGGTCAAATGAGGCTCGTTTGTTTGTTTCTCCCAGCCACATTTACAGATTAATGCTTTTGCAGTTGCATAAATCGGAGTGACGCCGTTCAAATCCCCCGCTGAACAGAACTTGCAGGAATTGGAGATTTCTTCCTGTTCGGCTAACAAAATTACGACCAGTGAATGTTGGCTAACGAGCTGGAAGAAACATTATGGCAACATCCCTAAAACAATAAATGAGGGATGTCTCCTTAACATTCCCGAATATTCCCAGAATGCCCTGTGACATCCTGTTAGAACAAAGGCTGCTGGGAGTGAGATGGCCGCATGGTGCGTCCCGGTGAGGTGGGGGAAGCTTCAGCCACCAACCTGTGCTATGTTGACAGATGCCATAGTGACAGAGGGAGGGGAGAACTTCAGCCAGGGCCAGCGTCAACTCTTCTGCTTAGCTCGGGCCTTCGTCAGGAAGAGCAGTATCCTGATCATGGACGAGGCCACGGCCTCCATCGACATGGCAACGGTGAGCAGCCTCAGGACCACTGGGGGCACTGAGGATAGCGGCTGGGGGGTTGCAGAGGTACCCGCTGTCATGACTAATTTCACATCAGGGACACCCCATCATAATCAGCCGGGATATCAGTGAGCTTCCTCCCCAACACTGTCTTCACACAACATGAATGAATGAACGCAGAGACGTTTGACGTGTAAACGGTCATGGAATCCAGGAACAGTGGTTTTTATGCTACAGAATTAATATGTTTCATATGCATTCAAACACCTAGGGTAGATCTACACACACACACACACACACACATGGTAATTTCCAGAACAGGGCCTCATATACTACAGGCAATTTAAAGACACCAGATCACCTAACAGCTTGGAGTACCTGGAGGAAACCTACTTCACAAATGTACAACACTCAAACTCCACGTTCATGGGAGTTTTACTTACACAAAAATATTCTGAGGGTAGAAGGAAAGATGATTGGTTCAAAAAGATAACCAATCAGATTGTAGAGGAGGTGGGACTAAGACATCTCATTGGTTGGTCCTGCCTCCTCTAATTGCTAGGACCCACCTCCTCTACAATGTGATTGATTATCTCTCTGAACCAATCATTTTTCCTTCTGTCCTCGGTAAAAATTCCCATGAGCAACCTTCACACGTATAAAGCAGGGATGAGACTCCACTCTGGAGGTGTGAGGCAATACTATTAACGTTACAATAGTTACTGTGCCACCCTTTGTGTAAATTTCAGATTTATTTCAATGCTGTATTATTACTGTTTTTTTTTTTAACCAGGAGAGCATCCTACAAAAAGTCGTAATGACGGCGTTTGCAGATCGCACCGTGGTCATTATAGCTGTAAGTGTCACGTGAGTCTTCTGTTTAACCGTCTCTCATCTCCTAGTCTGTGAAATGCACCAGACATGCCTGGTTTATGCAAGGAAGCAGAATGGCTGAGGTCTTACGGAATTATTTTTTTGTTTAGTTATTAAATGTTCCCAGGACCCAAAGGAAATGGAAGCAAAGATAAAACTCTCTTTATGTCCTACTAGACTGTAGTCCTAAAAAAAACCACTCAGGTATCAAATGAAGAGCCATTCGACCTTGAACAGAGATAGAAAAAAAAATCCATAGTCATTATGGCTTTCCAAATCAAGCGTACTTTTCCCCCCTGAGGTGCCATTTTCAGCAAATGAAAAAACTGCTCCGGAATTCAAAATGGGTTTTCGAATCACACTGCGTCATACCGAGCTGAGCCATTCTCTAAATGAGAAAGTGCCGCTAGATGTGGCTTTCTCTGACGAGTGTGTAAGAAATATGAGCTTAATTGTGCATATGCTTGTGGAAGAAGTATGTGCATCCTGCTCGATGGGCTTTTTCGGTTTACAGCACCGCGTCCACACGATCCTGAACGCCGATCTGGTCATCGTCATGAAGCGCGGCATCATCTTGGAGTACGACAAGCCTGGCGTGCTGTTGGACCGAGAGGACAGCGTCTTCGCATCCTTCGTCCGTGCAGACAAATGAGGGACTCAGAAGGATCTTATAAGTGCAATTGTACAACGGATCATTATTTTTTAATCATGTATGATATTTGTAAATATTTTAATTCTTTAATAAAAGCACATCACATTCTCTGTCAATGTACTGTGTTTTACTTTAAGAAATCGCAAATTCATTTTCTTTTACCCCCAGATTTTTCCACAGTCGTGGCGGCGAAGTCCGAACGATCACGCAGTAATGTTTTAAGATAAATATTTTTTTTTTTTGCACTGACAAATAAATGCAGTATATATTGAATTATATGTTGTGCGCTCTTTTCTGCAGTGTGCAAAACGAGACCCCGTTGTATATGTCGTTTATGTTACAGGCACCGGCAAGATGCAGCTGAAGCCAAAAATACAAAATTGTTCTCTTATCAAACATTATCGTTCATCAGTTTAACCATATTTTCCAATAACAAATCAAAGGAATCATATTCTGAAAGATGGTTAAAATACATAAGCCTAGTCGAAAACGTTATTTAAAACAAGTGCCATAGACTGGTTGTGAAAGGTACATTTAAAATGATTACTGTAATATTTAGTATACTGAAAAGTCACTCCTATACCCTTATACAGGGCATATGGATTTAAATATAAAGAAATCTCAACTTGTGCATTATATAAGAAAGGTGCGCAAAAATCACGAGAACTTAAGCGGATTTTTCATCCTGTGCACATTCATTTTCCTTGAAATTAAAATAACTTCTTTATAACGAACCTGTCCGGCGATATTTCTTCAATATATTTATTACCTTGGTTCTACCGATCTGGTGCTAAAAGTTACTACACGGCACCACAATAAATGTACTCAAAGTTTAAACTAAAAAAACAACAGTGCTAGTAAAACATTATAGAAATATATAGGGAAACGTGTTTATAACTGCATTTAGCTAACCATACCAGCTTCCAGCGTTGTGCAAGACAAAACTAATGTTTTGATGACCAAAATCTATTTTCATACCGCATTAGGTGCTTTTATGGTGTCTTATGAAAGACGGCCATATCCATGATAAATACTATGTTTAATTCATGACTGGAATTAATGTGCCAACCCTGAAAACAGTAACCTAGTAACGAACAGTTATGGGGGGCCTCCCTGTGGTAATGACCCAAGATAAGCTGCAGTAAAGTCGAACACATTTCTAAAGCTTGATAGCAGTGCTTAAAATAAACTTAAGAAACATGCACAGGCAATGAACGAACCATCTGTATGAAAACGAACATCTAGATTATTAAAATCGCTCAATAACTAATCGAATATTCGAGTGACCTATAATGCAGTCTAGTATCTTAATTATAAGGGGAAAAATATGATTGAACGGGCAAAACCACACTACTTTTATTCATGACATCCTTACATAACAATATGCTTTAAACACTTCGATATTAAAACCTATTCATGCTAGTTGTTCTCCGACTTGCAAGATTTAAATAAAAAATTAATAAAGTATTATTAATGCGTATTTTAATATAAATTTCTTACAAAGAAAATAATATCTTATTCAATAGCAGATATAAAACCAAGCGACTTGTAGATCACGGTTTTTGCTGTTGGATGCAGAATTTGCCAGTGTGTCACTGGATTTGTTTTCTGCTTCCGTTTTACCGGCTTCTCCCAGCTTTCTCACGTTTGCCGGTGCCCCGCTGCAGGGCGCTGCGATCCCTGCGCGCACCGCATACCTTGGACGCCCTTTCCCGACTTGGCCCCGCCGCTTTAACAGGGTCGGATCCAGATCACGTCAAACGATCGAATTGCACGGTGACTGACACTAGCAGCTGGTGTCATGAAAGCGGAGTCCCCTCTCGGGAATCCAGCGACTGCAGAGCTCCTGATCCGGCAATTTTAGCCACAAGCTTATAGAAAATAGATGACAAAACTCCTAGGTCATCTTGGACTAACAGTCATTGGACAAGCCATCCAGGAAGCCAATTGTAAGGTGTCTCTTTTTTTTTACGCAGGGGGTCCTCGTCAAACAGAAACAAATCGGTCTTCCACGGATCGGGGTCTACCGAGTATGGGAGCGCTATGTTGTCCAGAAAGGGACTTATTCCTGAAGATTATGTGTTAACGCGGCTGGCGGAGGATGTATTGCAGCCTAGATTTAAGACAAGACAAAGGAAGGCTCGGTTCGTGGCCAAGAACGGAACCTGCAACGTAGCCCACACGAACATCCGAGAGCAGGGACGCTTCCTACAAGACGTTTTCACCACACTCGTGGATCTGAAATGGCTCCACACGCTTATCATATTTACTATGTCTTTTTTATGTAGTTGGCTGCTTTTTGGGATGGTCTGGTGGCTCATAGCGTTCGCGCACGGGGACCTACACGAGAAAGGGGACGATTTCGTTCCCTGTGTCACATCCATTCACTCGTTTTCGTCGGCGTTTTTGTTCTCCATAGAAGTGCAGGTCACGATCGGTTTCGGGGGCAGAATGATCACGGAGGAGTGCGTCTCGGCGGTCATCACACTCATCCTCCAGAACATCGTCGGCTTGGTGATCAACGCCATCATGCTAGGCTGCATCTTCATGAAGACGGCGCAGGCTCACCGTCGAGCCGAGACGCTGATCTTCAGCAAACACGCCGTGATCGCCCCCCGAAACGACAAGCTTTGTTTCATGATAAGGATCGGCGATCTGCGGAAAAGCATGATCATCAGTGCCGCGGTGCGAATGCAGGTGGTGCGGCGGACCACGACGCAAGAAGGGGAGGTCATTCCCCTTGACCAAATAGACATTCAGATGGACAACCCTATTGGGACTAACGGTATCTTCCTGGTGTCCCCCCTGATCATAAGTCACATAATTGACAAAAACAGTCCTCTGTACGAGCTGTCAGCAGCCGAGCTGCAGCGTGAGGACATTGAAGTCATCGTAGTGCTGGAAGGCGTCGTTGAGACCACAGGCATTACGACGCAGGCTCGGACGTCCTATTTGTCGGAGGAGATTCTCTGGGGACAGCGCTTTGTCCCCACCGTCTCCGAAGATGATGGAATGTACGCTGTGGACTATTCGAAGTTCGGGAAAACGGTCAAAGTACCGACCCCTACATGCAGCGCTAAGCAGTTGTTGGAGGAAGGCGGCTTGTCACGGTACGGACTCAGGGAGTCCTTGCAGAAGGAATCGGTGAGAAGACGGCAGCAAGCTGTACCGGCCGCGGAGCTCGGGGGCACCGAGTAGTTATTTATGAGAGGCAGTAGTGATCTTAAAAATGAAAATAATAATAATAATAATAAAATATGCACATACTTTAGGGTTGTTTTGTCTACGGAATCGCTTCCGTTTATATGCAAGTGCATTTTTAAAATGTATGGGTGCCAATTCTATTTTTTGTTCTTAAGTTTTAAACCATTTTTATATTTATGCACTTTTATATAACTCTTGTACTTTGTTACCAACAGCAAAAATCATAATGATTTGTGACACCGTGAGCCTATTGTGGAGAAGCAATCATGGATGATGATGAATGTAACCTTTAAGAGGAATACTCAATAGCATTGAATGAACTGTACACGTTTTATCTCAATGAATGATTTTTTTTTATGGTATATGATCTTGTTGCACATGAAAATGCACCAAAAAGCATCAAGGAGGAAAAAAATAGTAGGTCTGCCAGGTAAAGTTCATTTGCACAATTTGCATGAATTTCCCCAGAAGTCGGGAATTGCTGTCTTGGGAAGGCTTTTCAGTCAGTGTGAGAGGGGATGGTTTGCTTGTTATTGTCAAATGTTACTTGCCTGATACCAGCAATAAACTGGAAAGCAATTTTTGCAACTAATTTGTGTGTGTGTGTGCGTGTGTGTGTGTGTGTGTGTGTGTGCATTTGTGTGAATCCCATGTACCTGTGAGTGAATGGGAAACCAAGCAGCTGCGCAGGTAAAAGTCACTTGTTGCAATTTCATTTCAAATATGTATATCGAGTCTGTCCATCACCGGGACATTGGTGGGATTGTGGGCAGCCCAGGAGAGACCATAGGTTCTCAGTGACTTAGAGCTCACCACTGCAGCTGTATGTAGCAGTTACAAAGTGAGGACATTAGGTACACTGGTGTCTCTGCGGTCAGCAAACCTTTGGCTTTACAGCAGTGAGATGTGTACCATACCTTTGAAATAGTTTCCTGGGGACCTAAACTCACAAAAGCAAGCTACAAATCTTTCTTAAAATGCCTTTTTAAAATGCAGTTTTTAACTGCTGTTCCATATACACTCACCTAAAGGATTATTAGGAACACCTGTTCAATTTCTCATTAATGCAATTATCTAATCAACCAATCACATGGCAGTTG